AGTGAGTTTTGCGGAGTTTTGAGTGAGTTTTGCGGAGTTTTGAGTGAGTTTTGCGGAGTTTTGAGTGAGTTTTGCGGAGTTTTGAGTGAGTTTTGTGCTATTTTATGGGACGCAGCCGGCTCCCCAAGCACCTTCTCGCCTTCCCAGCTGGGGTGGGAAGGGAATCCTTAACCACCGGCCCAGCCGGTAGCGCCGATCCCAAACCCTACGAGGAACCAGTTGGGAACCAGTCCTGTAATGAGGCGCCTCTGGATGCAGGGCCCGTCGCCGGCTGCGGTGGCGATAAAAGGGAGCGCCGGGACGCGCTCCCCGCACTCGGCTCCGGCTCTCGGCGATGTGGGGTGGCTCCCGCGCCGTCTGGAAGAGGAGGTTCAGCTGCTGTGAGTGTGTTTGGGGGGCTCAGACCCCGAGTGGGGCTTTTTTGGGAGGTGGGCAGCCCCCAGGAGGAGCTAAAACGGCGCGGCCTGAGGGAGGGAGACGAGTGCTGGGGGAAAAAAAAACGCCGAGACCCCACCATGGATTCACCGCAATCCCACCCGGAGCTGCGGGGTGCTGGGGGGCACATCCTGGCTGGTGAAGCCCCCATCCTGTGGGCACAGCTGGTGGTCCCTGGAGCCGTCCCGTGGCCGCGTTGTGTCCTGGGTGGCCGGAGTGGGGTAAGGCGACAGCCCCGGCTCTCACAGCCCGGCCAGGTCAGGGTGGGGGCCGGGAGTGCCCCCTCGGCGGCTCATCAGGACGAGGAGGACGCCGGGGCCGCGATTTTGGGGAGCAGCGACAACACGGGTATAGGAGCGGCGCCCCGGCTGCAGGGAGAGGGGTCCCTGGGCAGGGGGGTGCGGCTCCGCTTGGCAGCGGGGACAGCGGCCTTGGGGGTTGAGGGGCTCGGGGGGCTTGAAGGGGCAGAGAGCACACAGTTTTCAGCTCAGTGATCCCCAAACTGAGACTCCCCGTCCTCCCTCGCCCCGCAGATGGTCCCTGGGAGTCGGCCGAGAGCTGCATCGTGCGCACCTCCGCCAGCGTCTACCGCCGGCTGCAGGAGAGCCCGCGGCAGCCCCCGCGGGGGATGAGCACCCGCGGACCATCCCCGCAGCCCCCGCAGCCCCCCAGCAGCCCCCCGAGCCGCGGGAGGCTCCTCAAATCCGAGTCCGAGGATTCCGGCGTGGAGATGGCCAGCAACGAGCACTCGCCCTCCACCCCGCTGGGCTCCGAGAGCAGCTTTTCCCTGGACGGTTTCCCGGCCGAGAAGACCCCCGGAGAGGAGCATCCCCGACCCGGAGAGGAGCCCCCCCGGCCCTCCCGGAGCCGCTCGGCCAGCAGGAGGCTGCTGCAGGCAGCGCAGCGGAGCAGGAGGCAGCGCTGCCCGCGACAGCTCAGCCGCCGCAGCGCCAGCGCCGCCGACCCGGCAGAGCCCCGACCGCGGGACCCCGAGGAGCCCGAGGGGGCGGCCCGACCGTCCGGTAACCCCCGGGACCCCCGCGCTGTGCCCGAGGCTGAGGTGTCGGGGCAGGGGCTGCGCTACCTGGAGCACGTGTGCCAGATGCTGGAGCGCCTGGCGAGGCTGCAGCAGGACAACCGCGCCCTCCGGCAGCAGGCGGCCGGAGCCCGGGGAGCCCGCCCGGACACCCTGGTGAGGCCCGGGAGG